TGTGTTAAATTTGTAACTACAAATGTAAAAAGTAGTCATTCTCAAATAATAATTAAAGACGAGGAAATAGACTTTGTTGATAATGCGGTGTTCTTGGGAATTACTTTAGATAGTAAACTCCAGTGGGGCCGACACATAGAAGGTCTTTCGAATAGGCTAAGTTCCGCAGCGTTCGCAGTAAAAAAGATACGCGATCTTACGGATGAGAACACAGCAAAGCTTGTTTATTTCAGCTATTTTCATAGTATTATGTCATATGGTGTTATTTTGTGGGGTAATGCAGCTGACATTAAATCGATATTTGTAGTGCAAAAGCGGGCTATAAGAGCGATCTGTGGGTTGTCCCCACGGGAGTCGGTCCGAAAGAAGTTTAAAGAATTACATATTTTGACTCTGGCAAGTCAATACATTTATGAGAATATTTTGTATGTGCGGAATAATATAGATATTTTTAAAAAGAATAGTAGCTTCCATAATTATAGTACTCGTAATAAAGACAAAATTAGCGCACCAACCAGAAGGCTGCATAAAACGAGTAATTCTTTCCAAGGCAATTGTAAACGTTTTTTTTCAATAAAATCCCTAGTGAGATACAAGTGTTGTCAATAAATAAATTTAAGTCGTATATTAAAGTAAAACTGCTTGCTAAGGCCTATTATAATATAAATGAATATTTAAACGATCCTAGTGCTTGGATATAAGTTGCTCCAGTATAAATAGGTAACGCGACTGAATCTCTCGGCTGCATTTCCAGACTCCGGGGCGATCGTCAACATCCACGACTGTATTAATGTAAAGTGGGATCAAACCGTGATCCATGTGGTATCAAATTATTTAAGTATTATTATTATTTTCTTATGTAGCCAAGTCCACATTTCAAGGATCGTCATGCTCGCTTAAATGTCATTGCTTGTGGCGGCGTCCATGCGTCGGGTTGTCTCTCTCCCTAAAATATGGCGGGTGGGCCGATGGCTGGCCATGCGTCATACTCGTGAACGGGTGCTTCTTGTGGTGACTGGTCGTACTTGAATTCGTGTATGCAGTGATGTTAATTATTTCGACTATGTGTTTGCGTGTTGTTCCCACGAGAATGTAAGTGCGTGCTCCTATTTCACCATGCCACCTGCTGATAGAGGACAAGTCTTTGTTTTTAATTTATGTTATTATTATTAATTACTTAAGATGTCATGTGGAACATGGTGTAATGGTTGCAGCTCCTTACAAACGTTGTGTAAAAAAAAACATGGCGATTAAAAAGAGTGGCGGAGAGTTTATTGCCAGTTCTTCTCTTCCGTTCTACGCCCTTGATTTGAGAACTGGCAGTAAATGTAAAATTAGAAGCATTAATATGTATTTCTTTAATGACGAATCACAAGTGTACATTGTGTTACCTACGTGAATAAAAGATTTTTGAATTTGAATTTGAATAAATAGTTTTCCGTACATTATATTATTAGTTTTTGTTACACATCATTTAAGAGCAGGAAATTGCAAGATAATAATATAATATTTTTAACAATGCTGTTGCTCACATAACACAAATCACGGACAAGGTTAAAAATGTTCAAATATAAATTAAATATAATTTGAAATAAAAACTTTAACTATTTTATTTAGTTTTAATAAAAACATTGAATCTTAGACTGAATGTCAGTTATTCATACGTTGTTTCAACGTGAGTTTTTTCTTGATTTTCCTTAACTTTTTACCAATATTATTATTTAGAACGAACCGCCTTATTAATTAACATTGCAGTCCGGCGAGTGTTGAAAATAAATTAAAAAGTTAATGTCACATAATTAATACTGAATACACTATATTGAATGCAATAAATGCTAAACACATTTAAAAAATTAAAGTTGAAAAAGGTTTCTTTTTTTTCATGGAAGAGAGACGAAAGACGCAGATGCATGAATGCGAGTCTCAAAACAATGATTAACAATCTTACTGGACGTTACCAAGGCATAAGTCTACTTTACCTTTATTAGTTTGATTTGATTAAAACCATAAAGATCCATCTTACGTAAGGTAATAAATGTGCTACGGTTGTATAATTGTTATTAACAGAACAACAATGTAATTAAGTTTTAATTTAAATTTTAGATTTACCTACAACTGTATGTGATCATGTACAAATTGTCTCATCTTTTGTATTGGAAACTTAATAATTTATTTTCTTCCAAGCTTCCTAAAAGAATTACTTAGTTTCAACTAAAATAGCCTGAGGTATTATTACTTGCATTTACTGCGGTTAAATATCAAGCAGTTTACATATTTCTACATCTGTATAGTAGGTTTTTCGCAAAGTATAGGGTTGCGTGTTGAATACCACCGCATTTTTTTGACGATACTAATTATTTAGGAGTCTCGGAGGACCATCATTGGAACACCTCCAAGTGAGTTTTGCTGCGGAAACGCGTCTAAATATTTTTACAAAAAAATTTAAAGTTTTGTGTAATGTATTGAAATTTGTAAACAATCCTCCATTTTCTACTTTTCTATTGGTTATTAGAGATGTGACGTTCACTTTAAAAAATCGTGTTTTTAATTTATCGATTGTTAATAATCGTTTTTTTTTTATTTATCGATTATTTCCTCATTTTTGAAATTTAAAGTTTTAGAATAATCAACATTGAAATTAACCTAATTTCGTGTTGATAGATTATAGGCTTTTCAATATCTACTTTTGAAACAAAATATAAAGACATATATAAACATAAAATAAGATGGTACATAAGCAATAAGTATATAACGAATAACAAAGCTGTCGATAACATAAGCTTATTACTTGCTCTTCAATGTTTTAATAAATGTCAAATGTTGACAAAAATCTAACGATATCAAAAAAGATATCGAAAAAAAAGTATACTATACTTCACAATTCGTATTTAAAACCTACTTTAAACAAGTAGAAAACAGATAAGATGGAACAACGAATCAAAAATATACGTGTTTACTTACGTAAGCCCAACGGCGCAACACTCCAGACCGCTAAAAAGAAAACAAGATCTCCCAACATTCTATATGACCCTTACTTCGTGTATGACACTTTGTAACCGAGTTACCGCCTGTTCCTCGACTCGACCTCGACTTTATACATGTCATAAAAATTGTACCTTACAACTCCTCATTACACGCTGACGTCTTTTAGTAATAGCATATAGTTAATTTCAAGTAAATACTAAATAATAAGATAATAATATGCTCTTAAAAGGATTGCAATTATAATATATAAAATATCTATATTATACTTGCTGACCCGGCAAACGTTGTTTTGCCTTGTATATTATTTCTAGAAAAGATTTTTTAGTTCAATAAACATAACTATCTACAATAATAAAAAATAGGGGCTGTATGTATTTTTGTATGTTGTATCATAAAACAAAAACATTTTTTGGGGTAGACACCCCTTATCACTTAGGGGTTTGAAAGATATATAGTAGCCGATTCTCAGACTTACTGAATGTGCATAAAAAAATTCATAAAAATCGGTCGAGCCGTTTCGGAGGAGTATGGGAACGAACATTGTGACACGAGAATTTTATATATTAGATATATAGAGATTAGATGTTTAGACCAAAAATTTGTTAGTTAAACGTGAGGTCAGCCGTTCAGAAATGACGATGATTCGCAAATGCCTAGCTATTAATGTTATTATTTTTAACAGTTCTGCCTTGCGATTCTGTAACTCACTTTTCGAACTCTCACAGCGGTTTTCGCAGCGGCGGTCGCGCTCAAATCAGTCGTAAAGCAGTCATTTTACGATTTGTAGTTTATTGTTTATCAGAATGCCAATCTATATCTGTTATCTACGATTAATATTTGTTTCACTTGTTGTGCCACTTGTATTTTGTTGTAACTAACTGCTTTCAATCTTGAGTCTTTCGTTCTTAGATATATAAGTTTTGACTGACCTGTTAATTAACATAATTTAAATGTGTTTAATTATATTTTGACACTTGCCTGGTAATTTGACTGATTTTGCGGTTGTTTCTATTTTTTGTGTACCACTTTGATATTATTTATATATTTAATTATTATACTGTCATATTGCTTTGTAACTACGTGCGTATGCTTTAAACTGTTTGTATTCGCACTGAAAGCCAAGCCAACTTGGCTATACATATTATGTAGTATTCTTATACTAAATAAAATTAGTCTTATCTTTCCCTTTATTCCTATCTTTTAAATGTTAATTTTTCCTACTAGACTAAAATATGTGAGCCTTTTTGTTGGATTAAGTAAAATCAACAACATCTTGATACAGTCAAACCTGGATAAGCAAGAGTTCAAGGGAGAACAATCTCATTCTCGCTTATAGAGGTTTCTCACTAACCCGAGTTTCTCGCTAATGCAGGAACATGGGTAGCGTTTCTCTCTTATAGAGGTAAGGAGGTAAGGAAGAGCAAGTACGAATGTAGTAAATATGTAATATGATAAAATTATGTGCATAATGTGCACAACATATTATGAACATATGTATTTTATTTTATTTAGAACTAATTTACACTTAAAAAAACCGTCAATTTCGTTTGTGTTTCTGTTTTTGTATTTTGAAGGTTTATCTCTAACTCATAAATTTTGTCGAATATTGCTTGATCAACGCATTTAAAGTACATAATATAAATAAATAAAGCCCGACTGTCGCTTATAGAGGTAAAGATAAGTAGCAGTCTCACTTACGGAGGTCCATGAGGGAAAAACGACTCTCTCTTACAGAGGTTTCTGTTTCTCGCTAATAGAGGTTTAGGGAGCTTAAAATGACGGGTCCCGGTTATTACTCTCACTTATAGAGTTTTCTCACTTATCCAGTTCTCACTTACCCAGGTTTGACTGTATATATTTAGACATTATAATATTTTTTTATTTATTTTTAAAAATCTAGAATTTATTTAAAAAGAAGTCTATCAGCTTCGAATTCTATGAGTTTGAAATACAGAAATAAATAGATTTTTTACAAAGTAATTCGTAAGACTTTATTTCACAACAAAAATACATGTTTAATTCTTAACATATTTGCTGAGATCCCCCGCTAGATACTTTTCAGCTTCAACATTTCCAAAGAATTTATATAGCATCTCATACGCTATATCAGTTGCCGTTACTAACGTTGATTTTCCAAAAGATTGCCATATTGTTTTGTAATTTTGATTGTAGTAGTCCATGATTAATTTACCTATAAAACATATTTCAAATGAATTAAGTTACATTAAAATAATTTGAAGTTTCCTCCGAACTTGTACGTAAAACTTATGAACTCAGCCTTATAATTCAGAAGCGAAATGTACTTAAGAAGCTTTTAGAACCTGGTTTTCATACCCATGGGAGCAATTGCAAAATCTCCTGTTTTAAATTACAACGTTCGACGTACGGGGAATACGTCTGTCAACGAATAAATGTAATCAGGTATATTTTGGGATTAACTTACTTGCTTCTACGTCACCAATGTATAATTGGTCGATCGTGAGGTGACTGGGCCCTTGTAAATCAAAATCGTATGAGGTCGAATCCTTTTCGTGGGTCAGGTAAATCTTTCCATCACGTTTCACCACTTCGAATTTAATTTTGTAAGTAATCAAAATTTTATCTGCAATAAATTTAATATTAGTTTAATCTCAGGTAGAGTAAGATACGTGTAAATACAAATCGTGTATAGTCAATCCTTCATTCAAATATTATATTATATTGGAAGGTGATGTTATTGCGTTCACCTCAGAGGCATTTAGGGATACACTTCTAACAATATTTCATATGCTTGAACATAATATGAAATATTGTTTTCCTGCTTGCTTATGACGCATGAAGGGATAAACGTGTGCCTGGTACACCTCTGTATGACCTTTAGCTGCATGTTCCCTGTTCACCACTTAATCAACGTATAAGATTAAAAATAACTTACCAATTTTAAGCTTAGCGTTTCCGCTGCCCTTTAAAGCGCCGGGTCCGAATAGGTCTTTTAAGGCTGTGCCAGACCCAGTCACTTCATATTTACCCTTCGCAGATAGGTCGCATAATAGTTTTAATACGCCAGTTCCCTTGTCCATGTGTAACCTAAAATGTTAAATAACATACATAAAAGGTAATAATAAATTTATTTAAATTATTTTCCACATAATATAGTAGTATGTAGATTAAACTTAAACTAGCTATAAATATTTCAATTTTTTTTAAATAAACAGTTAATAATGACGAGTGAGTGCATGACCTATTAAAATTGTATAAAGACTGAACGCGAAATTTAATCAAAAAAATATTCCAACTATTTCATTTATTTATTCTAGCTTATATGACTATTTTTCTTATGTTTTGCGAAATGGAATGGATTAATTGTTTTTTTTTGCGTATGCATATAAAACATTTACATGTTTTTTTTTATAAAAGATTCATTGCATCATTTAAGTATTAGAATGTATTCAATCATATCGAAATATTACAAAATGCATGTTAATTAACACGTTGAGGAGTAAAATAAAGCCTTGTACCACTACAACCAGATATGACTATAAATTTATTCCACCCATCATAACAACATCTTCAATGTGTAATAACAGTAGTAAAAAATATTACTCTTAATCATTTACCGGAATTCAGTTAGATACCTAAAACAATTATGTATCTTATACAAGCTGTAATTTAATAGTTAATGTGACGTTAATTAAAATACGCTGACGTTCTTTACATAGTAAATGTACACGCAATTTTGAAACTAAGAGTATGTATGTTTGGTTGAACTTATTTGAAAAAAAATTGTCAGTATCATATATATACCGATGAGGCTTTACACGCTTGTTAAAGTATTTTCTTCTTCGCACCATCTCTTTGTGAAACCAGTAAAGGTTTTTTTAAATCAATAGAGCTTTTATCAAGTGAGGATACTATTCCCTCAAATGTTTGCAACATACCCACAAGGCCCCCAGCGTTGCGTTGGTGTCCACGAGCGGCGGTTAGCACTTTATTTAAAGTGGCCCACCTACCTCTTTCGCTCCTGCCCCATTAAGATACCCTGCTACTAATTAGTAGTTGTTTAAATAGTCTATAATTTTAAAATTATTTTAATTGTCTTCCCGAATTGGCTAAATTTTGTAGAGACAATCTCAGTTTCCATACTACATCTTGTTTTTATTAACCAAGTTTATAATCCTAGAGCTTAAGTAAAACCGTTATATGTTGTGTACAAAAATATATGAAGCGCGTTATCAAACAGTCATTGGTGTATTTAAACATATGTATTATCTTTGCAAATAAAATTCTTCGGTGTGTGTACCTGCTATGAGAATCCTTATACTTACTTTGCATCAGTAACTTCGCAATTCTTAAGACCCTTGATGACTCCTTCTTTGACAGTCAGTTCCGCCATGTCCATGAAGTTAAGCTTTAGATTGGTCAGTTTGAATGGATCAATGGGTGGTATATCGTATTCTGGGATACCTGTGGTAGCTATACCCTCGAGCACGCTCTTTATAACTTTCTTAAGGCAATCCCAATCTTCGGGCTGACATTTGCCTAACGTCTCCACTGTAATTTATACACAGTTTAGTTTAATTCGGTATAAGTTAGAAATAAAATTTACATTTGTCGAACTATAATGAAAAGTTGTAAAATAATTGACAAGTTTTATCTACACAAACATGACTATAGAGCGTTTTACTTCTCTAATTAATAATCTCTAATTTTAAAAGTGACACAAGATCTACTCACCAAAGGCAGCATCGCAAAATGTTAAATAACCGCAAAGAAAAACGAAACAATAATTTTTGTTGAACATTTTTGACAACTGCACTACTCGGAACTATGAAAACACTGTAACACTTGTAGGGTCTAACGTATATTTTATACTCCTCAAAACACGTATAAATTTTATAAAAACTGTATAAAAACCAGTTCTTAATTGTATGGGTAACCCTGACCATGCGTCCGCTAATTATAACATTTGTAACAAGTGCCCACCCGCGACATCGCTCTAATGCATTCGATCTTCTCATTTGCGTCTAATCTCGCAACTGTTCTCCATTTTCAAATTTACACTTTTTATTTATAGGAATAGTCACATAACATAAAAGAGAGAGAGACATAAAAGAAACTGTATATTTGTGTCTTGAAAATAAATATTAAATAAATTTAATATTTAATACATTACAATATTGAATGCAATAAATGCTAAAAACATTAAACTTGTAAAAGGTTTTTTTTTCATGGAAGAGAGGTGAAAGACGCAGATGCATGAATGCGAGTCTCAAAACAATGGTTAACAATCTTACTGGACGATACCTAGGCATAAGTCTACTTTACCTTTATTATTTTCATTTGATTTAAACCATAAAGATCATTAATTTTACGTAGGCTAATAAATGTGATACGGTTGTATAATTGTAATTAACAGAACCACACTGTAATTAAGTTTTTATTAAAATCTTAGATTTACCTACAACTGTATGCGCATTTTGATCATGTACAAGTTATGTCATCTTTTGTTTTTGAATCTTAATAATTTATTTTGTTCCAAGCTTCCTAAAATTATTACTTAGTTTCAATAAAAAAGCCTTAGGTATTATTATTTGCATTTACTGTGGTTAAAGATCAAGAGGTTACATATTTGCTACATCTGTATAGTAGGTAGCAAATAAGTGTAACTAGAAAAAATCCTTTATTTTCCACGTGCTTTGTTTAGAAAAAACGTACCGTAAACGTACGTTTTTTCATTATACTTAATATTTCACAATTCTTAAGACCCTAAGAAGGTACTTAATATTTCATTGTTACTACTCGTACAATGAAATATTAAGTTACCTAGTGAATTAATTAAATTACCTAGTGTTATTTATGCAGCGAATACGGCAACTGTTCTGGGTTCAATTAGTAGCTGTATTTTGTTGATTATAGATAAATTACTGTGTACTAATTAATTTGGTGTATCAGTGTAAAATATTACACTTATTTATACTATAGGTTTTTCGCAAAGTATATTCGAAAACACAAGTTAATTTAATTAAAATGGCATCAATCCTTGGTTCCGACATCCAAAATATATTAAATGACTTCATTATAACGTTCCAGTTTCTATTAACGTTTTTTTCTAATTGTTTGTCGTGTTAGTCAGTTACATATTAAAACAGAATATAAACTTCTTCTTGTCAATGACATGATAATGAATAATTCTCACAAAACATTATTTATCTGATGTAAGTTTATTAATACTGAAACTGGTTTACTGAAACACAGATGTTTTAGGAAAAGAACTGTGGAAATCTATTTTATGACTATCTATATTTGACAACAAATTGTCTATTGCATATCTTAAACAAGCTGTGCTCCGCGATTTCATCCAGTCCGGTCAGATCATAAAGCTTTGATAAATAAACTATACAATGCAAAAACTAATTATTTAATTCACACCAGTAGTTGTTCAATCAAAGAATACTTATATTTATCTTTTAAATATTAGTATAACTAAAAACGTTCTAGCTTACATATTTGGAACGACTAATAAAAAACCTCTCCTCTATGCCATGTGATCTATTGAATTAGCTTGCTCCACTATAGGTTTATTTAAGGATTCCCAGTCTGTTAAGCGCGCTTTTATTTTTAAACGCCAACAATAATAACATAATAATAAATTTGTCTTGAATCTCTACAATAAGTTAGCAGTTTGCTCTAATGTCGCCATTGCCAAAAAGTAGGGCTGGTGGGTTCCTTCTTTTGTATTCTCTAAGAATATATCTTACACGTAAAGCTCAAACGCACGTTTAACGCACCATTTTAATTCGTTCTGATATAAGTAAAAATAACCAGTCATTTCAAGCAATTGGTAATCTATATATATCAAAGCTTATTATTCTTGGCATAACCAACAAAAAAATCAGAATCACATAGGTTAAATTAAGTGATTAAGATAAGTTATACAGTAGTATATCATAAAAATTACTGTAAAAACTAAACCAGTGGCTCCAATATTATCCGCGAATGTCACCTTCTTTGGAATGTAATATGTGTGGCCGAACTGGCAAATGATATATTTTATTACCGCCTCTCTAAATCAAAAAGAAAGTCGAACTGAGTCAGCTTTTATGATATTTAGTTTTTATATCTTGCCTATTAAGAAAAACAAACACTGAATCTTATATCTGCAAATATAATTATATTAACAAGTATATTATGCAAATAAATTATGTAAATATATTAACATACGAGGGGAGTTCAATATATAGTGATAATGTGATACTTCCTTGGAAAGAAAAAAAACAATTACTCAGGCATTACACCAACATGAAATAATATTAGCAATCAATTCTCTTTTGTTTTTTCAATAGAAATCATAAGTTTTGGTTGTGTCAGACCGTGTTCTTAAAAATGGGTAAATAGTAATAAAATATCTCTGCTTCAAAATTTTTACTACGGACCTGCTAAATCAAGAATTGAAAAAAACATTAAGGGTTCATGATCCTACATATTCTACAGTGGCAAGACGACAACTGCCCATGGAACGCCCTACATAGTGTAGTAGTAGTGTCTCTCTCCTTAATTAGCAGCTCATGTCTTTGCGTCGTGGTCAGCAACGAAACATCTGGAGCGCACTATCTGTTACCACCGGTTTCTGTCCATTGCCCCTCTTATGACAGTGTACAGTTTTGAGGACGATGAGTCTTTCACTTGATCGGTCCATCTTGTCGGTGAACGCTCACATAATCTTTTGCCTTCTGTGTAACCAACCACGATGAGTTTCTCCAAGTTCTTCAAGTTTCGCCTCAGTAATAGTAACCCTAGGGAATGACTGGACAACTTATTAAAAAACATTATCTTGGTGGATCGTCGTGGGACAAGTGATTGAAACTGTTCATAATAAACTAACATTTAGGTATCAAAAAAGTCCCAGCGCGCGATTTATTCCTCTTGTAAGCAATAAGCTGTCATTCAAGAAGGTGGCTTCGAATTGATCCATCCTCCATATTCACCGGTTGACCTCCTAGTTATTTCTACATATTTCCGCTGTAAAAGAAACTCTCAGAGAGCATAAATTTAAAAATGATGACACCACAGAGTTTTTTAGAAGAATAATACAAATTGTATAAAACTGAAAGGTGACTACGTCTAAAAAATAATACATTCAAAGAAAGAGTACTGCGTCATACTCTTATCCCAATATATTGAACACTCCGAGTATTGTCATGTTTAAATATGTTTTTGTAATACTGGAAAAGTATTCCTACGGACATCTACATAGTTACACCTACACTACAATTTAAATAATATAGTAATTAACAACAAGGGTATAAAAGTTTTTATCTTCTCATGAACAAAAACTTTGACTTAATATAAGACTGTTTTACATAATATAATTAATTGTATGATTAATTTGAATATAAATTTTCGTAGTTAATAATAAATACTTTACAGTGAATCAGTAACAAAAATGTGTCTAAACTTTAACAAAGACTACTTTTCATTTCTAAAAAAAATATGATAGATATAGAAAATGGTATATGAACTTATGGTGTATAGCATTTTCTATTAGAAATTTCATTTTGCAATATTTAAATAACTAGTGTGGCTCTTACATAAAAACTTTTCTTTTTTTTTCAACTTTTTAATTGTTTTCTATTTGGAACGTCGTATATTATTTTAAAAACTTCTTTTGATTCTGCGCCATTTCATATACAATTTTTTTTTTTGTGTTCATTACCAAATTACAGTATGGAATGTGGTGTATGGAGCCGTCGGTTATATTTCAGACACTTCAAAAGTATGGTTTCAGCCTATACTATCATACTATCAACAGATACAACACTTCATCTGTCGAAAACCAGAAAAGATCGGGGCGGCTGCGTGCTGTTGGAACTACAAAAAATCTTTGAAGCAATCAGTGGCAAATTTCCCTTGGAAACAGTGCGTAAATCCATAGATTCGTGGCCAAACAGATGGCCTGAGAAACAGATTAAGAAGGCCTGTTTAAAAGCCAAATGCGGCCGTTTCGAATAGAGTATTTTTTTAAATTTTTGCAGAGACTAATAAATATGTAGGTATACATTTTAATAATATTACATTACTTCATTAAAAAAGAATGCATTTTCATTTGGAAAAGAACTTCTGGCTGAACTAGGTATAGCACTATACTACCAAATCGACTTAGGGTCCTTCAAGAAAAGGGCGAACGCATTCATAAAAGGCTGGCAATGCACTCGCGAGCCTTTTGGAATTGTAAGTGTCCGTGGGCGTTGGTATCACTTATCTTCAGGAGAGGCTCCTGCTCATTTACCCTCTATTATAATATGTAGTTGTGATTACATTACATTTAGTTGTGAATATCTAAAATTAATTACTGTTTTACTGTCTAACCTTGTCATACTTCCTAATGTAAAAAACGTTATTTTAAAATCATTTAATTTAATTTAAGGAATTTTAACATATTTTTTTATTTTTAAGCACAGATTCATTGTTTTAGCCAAATAACATTGTAATGTTAAAAATGACCTTGAAAATCTTTTATTTAGTTTGTTATATTGCGTTTAATTATTAAACTAAACCTTCCAAAGTACAATGCTTCTAGTCAAAGTTTATTAATAATTTAAAAGCATATACGTATATTATATTTTTGTGGGTAAGCCAAACAATGAAGCAACAGGACGAATGTAAAATATTAACAAAATATAAAATTATTTCATTTAGCCAAGCGTGAATAACAATAAATAATAAAAGTCATATTAGCTTTATTTACCCTTGATCAACCTCGACATTGACCATAGAGTTAACGAACTTGTGTTCTTATTTGGG